ATTCGTCCGTGGCAAGGGCAGCACTACCTTACATTCTGTGTTTCTTAAATCGTACTTATTTACCTTGCTACGATCAATACATTTTGAAGAAAGATAATCTGGAGTCAGGTTATTTAAAGTTTTGAACATCATTAATGATTTGGCGCAGGCCCTTTGTTGTTGTAAGGGTACCCAGCCTAAACTACGAAATTTTGAGAAGGCTATGATTCGCGCAGCACGATTTTGAAGCTTCTGTAATTTATCTGCAAGACCTTTGTTGCATCCATCCAATACTACGCTGCAATAATCAAAATGCGGTTGAACAAGAGCATTATAAACTACGATTAGTGTTTCTCTTGGTACGAATTGTCTAATATTTTTTAATGCACTTATACCTGATACAATTCTTTTCGATATTGACTGAATATGGTTTCCCCAACTCAGATTCTCGTCCATAAGTTACTGTTTTGTCATTTATTGTCAGGTGGGGGTAGCAGGAAGTCTCGATAACCGCTGTCGAGAGCCAATGAGCAGAAATTCTGTTTCGGACATGTTAATTGTAAGCTTATTGGCAGCGAGCCATGCATAAACCCTCATCAGATCATCATTGACATATTCATTAATATCGTCAATATTATTGCTTGCATAGGTAATGCTTGTATSATCGGCATACATTCTTGGGAATGAATGCAACAAACAGCTAGGTAGATCATTTATGTAAAGTAAAAAAAGAGGAGGCCCTAAAGTGGTTCCTTGAGGTACTCCGCACGTAATACTCAAATCAGTTGACTGAAAGCAATTGACTGAGCACACCTGAGAGCGGTTTTCCAAGTACGATATGAACCATTGAAGCGCGACTCCTTCAATACCATAAGAATGTAGCTTAGAAAGCAGGCGAGCTGATATGTTATCGAGCCCATTCATGCCTTTGCTTTGTTTAGCTTTGACAATAACTGCTGAACCTCTAAGGAATTTATTTCTTGCATTAAAAATTTTGAGCCTGTTTTAGACAAATTGTTTGTAAAAGAAAGAYTGACGTCCGGGATATTCTTTGCAAGCTTGGGTCCAATTTCTGCGAAGAAAGTGTTAAAATCGTTACAGATTTTCTTCGGGTCGCTAGTGCTTTCATTGTTGACTACGATACTATTTATGGTTGATTTATTAA